TCTCTTGAAGATAAATTCACCATTGTCTAGATTTGTATTAATTGTCTAGTACTTTGGATTAATTGTTTTGCGCACCTGACCTTTTATCCATGTAACAATATTGTGTCTATTTTAAATTATAGAATTACAGAGCACTTAGTCATTTTGTAACAATTTATGGAAGGTTAAATCCCCTTGTATTGGCAATGTGTCATGATACAAATATACAAAGGTTTTTGTTTTGGGTTTTTTCTTCTTGATATCCATGAATGGACTTTGACTGTATATAAAAATGTAACTCACTAAGTCACTTTGTAGAACACTAAGTGAAGATAATAGCATTATTGTGTAGATTTCGTTTTATTTTAGGACTAACTGTTTTATGCATCTGCTCTGCTTTTCATGAGACAATGTTGTATGTAGCTTAAAGTATAGAATTATAATTTATTTAGTTATTTTGTAATCATTTTTAGAAGGTTGAGAGATGTGTCATCATATACATGCTTTATATTTACATGCATGAGTATGTGTGTATATGCATGTGTACAGGTCTGGCATCCTCAAGAGTATTCTCCCACCAGGTATACTCTAGAATAGTTTTTTTTTATTTTGGTGGAGTGATAAGGCTAAAATAATAAAAAAAATACAGATCACCACATCCCATAGTCGGATCACAATGCAATAATATATTAACACGGACAGCGGGATTGCGCACCCCTACCTATTAACACAGACAGCGGGATCGCGCACCCCTACCTATTAACACGGACATTGTATATATATACAAGGGTTGTTTTTTGGTTGTTTTTTTGCCACTTTGCAAGATTTTACTGAGGGTTTAAAATTCCAGAATAGGGGTCGTGTTACTACATATATATTTACTTATGATGGTAGAACATACTAAAATGAAATAAATGTACTATTGTTTAGACTTTGTACTAGTTCAGGTTTAACTGTTTTGTTTTTGTGCTTTCTGATTTATGAGATTATATTGTGTATATTTAAAAATGTTTTAGAATTATAAAGCTTTATCACTTTGCAAGAATCTGCAAAGGTTTTTTTTTTTTTTTTTTCTCCCTCGTTAGGATATGTGTTATAATGCAAATATCTGTATTTGGGTACTCTTAATGTGCACAAATACATAGGGTGCATATGTTTTTTTTCTCTCTTCTCTTCTGTTCATCTACCTGCAATACGCACTGCACTTACAGTTAAGGGTTGCTCTTCTACTACATTTTTCTTTTTATTCCTCTTTTTTTTTTCATTGCATCATCACCATAGATAGCCATTAGACTGGTAAATGACTATCTATAGGGTATACATGATTACACTACGTATTTTCTTCTGTGCTTTGAGTTCAACTAGGCAAAGCTGTATACATTTTAAAGCAACATATTGTTGTAAGTGCTTTACTTTCACTATATGCACTTTGGCAAAGGTTTGCACAGCATTACGTGTTACACAAAGACACTTTATACTTATGTGCACTTTATATATTATAAGGTTACACCATTTTATATTTGTATAGTCTTAAAGACACAGTGCACCTTTATTTGTTTTTTGGTTTTGAGAGTGTATGAATATGGGCAATTTTGCTTTGTGTTTGCACTATTTTTCATACAGTTTATTATATTGCCAGGAGACTTTTTATTGTAGCGCCACTTTTTACTTGTTTTTTTGTGTATGTTTGTACTTTTTATAATCCGGATGGAGCAGGCAACAATACACCAAGATGTCACTGCACTGGATGAGAGGATGACCCCTCTTGAGACCTTGTCAAGACACTCAGAACAAATGCATGGACCATGGAAGTGTTGGCTATGAGGCAGCCTTTGGAGATGACCCTACAAAGCCTTTATAATTTGACCCTTGGAAATGAGTATCCAAAAGAGGTGTCCAGCTAGACAAGGAATTCAGACCCTTTTGTCCACCATACTCGGATGGGGTCCCCAGATATGTCATGTGCTGTGTCTACTAATCCCATCAGAAGGAACACAGCATGCTTAAGGTGAGAGAATACCAGTTGTGGACATTTTACAATGCTAATGTGTGCCTGTTTCTTCAACTTATCATCTATAACTGGTGAAGGGGTGTCCTTCCACCCAGCAGATATGCTTTTAAATTGCACCAGCCTTTCTTTTTCCAAGTATAAGCGAACATTGTTGAGACATTTTCTGATGGCCACATGGTCACCTATGTGAGTGAGATTGTGAAATTGGGGGCCAAGGGTGGAAATCATGAAAGTAGGCAAACGACAGCTAGACCTCTGATTCCTACCCATAACTCCCTCTCCCCTTTTTTAAGTCCACCTCTCAACTTCTCCTTGATTTTCTTCTCTTTTCTATCCCTCTTCTCACCAGCCTCTGTGGTTGGGGTATCCTTTCTCCACTTTCTAAGTGTGATGCACCTATTCTAATTATGGATCCACCATTGTGTGCAGCCCTCAATATTAACACTACCATTGAGGAGTTGCTTTTTTTTTTTTTTTTTTGGGGCAGGGTATTGGCTGGTGGACACCATGGCATACCTGTTGTGGGGTCTGGAAAGGTGGGAGATAAGGACTGTGCTCAATTCTTTCTTATATGGCTCTGTGCCAAGGACCCTTGGCAGTATTGTTATTCCTTTCCTTTGTCATGTTAACCTTTTACAGTTCTTATATTCCTGCGCACAAGAACTACAAGTAAGGATTATAAATAAATAAATGAGATAAAATGCCATAAAATATTTATGCAACACACGTTTTGGTGGAGCACTACAAGCACCACCCTGACGAAGGTGCATGTAGTGCTGCAACGGAATGCGTGTCTGGTTGTTGGGTTCATTTTTTATTTTGGGCACCTCACTTTTGGCTTATTCACTTGTTTGGAATCATGTTGACCTAATCATATACATTTCTTATGTCTATCCTCCTATGTCTGTGTAGCTAGTTTGGAAGGGAGAGAGGCTGTGTAATCTATTCTTGCCTTGTATGCACAGGCATTAGAATCTGTATTCCCTCTTTCTCTCCATACTTTTATTACCATTTGGTATTTTGTATCATACCCTCATTTCAGAAGCCATTACTAAGACATTGATACATTTTGATTATTCATATATGGGCCATGTACAATAAAGCCTAGCCTTTTTATTTATCTTTTCTGAGTATCAGTGTTACTGGATACTTTGCTAGTGGCTTAGCTGTGTTTCAAAAATAGGAGCTGCCTTATAACGCTGGTTTAACACTCTATCAGTAGATTTCTTGTTATTTTTTTTATTTGACTTACTTTGCTACATGTCATTAATTTGACATTTTTATAACATAGAATTGTTACTGTTACTTCCAGGCAGTACATTTGTTTCACTTTAGCTGAACCAAAGTACTCTTTCCTTTTTGATATTTATGCTGTAGTGTACGTTGTGTTTAGTTTTAAATATTTTTATTAAATAAAAATCACTAGACACAAGTTTTTCTTAAATGTTCCAGTTTTATAAAAGAAACATCTTTTATTTAAATTTTATTTCTAAATAAAATATTTTGGAAAAAAGAAAGATGCCTTTTGTATCATTTGATATATCATTTTTCAGTGAATTGAGGTTAAACATTGTCTGACAACAATAAAAAAAAAATTAACACCTGGTATAGGTAGTATTTTAAGTAATTATGAATGGGCAAATATACGTTCAAATGACAGAGACAATTTAATACATAATTTCAGATTTTTTTCCCCTCCTCCCTAACATGTACCATTTGCCAGTCCCATTGTCTACATTGTTCAATGCGTGTATGCATGTAGTTTATTTGATATGTTGGGAAAGATTTTAGAATTAAAAGCTTAGTAGGATCTCTGCATTAAGATTCCTACGTAACACTCTGTTCTACAAATTATGGGAAGTGACATTAAAAATTACATACTTCACTTTGATAAATGATTGTTGACTTTGTTTAATTTTTTTTCTCTTGCAACAACAGGTGTGAAAAATGCTGATAAACCCATACAGGAGACATACAGATGGCTGTAGTATAATTTTTGCAAAGTGAGGTTGATTAATTGATTTGGAAGGCAAGGGTCTGGTACTTGTTTCCTTCACAATGTTGCAATTTATTCATCAAGCAATGAGAATATTTGTTTCCCTGTTTCAGATTCTCCCAGTAGACTAATCATGAATGAACATTGTCACGGTTTTATTTACTTGACTGATGCATTCTTGTAGAGGGTTGCAGATGGCAACATGATGCTTTCCCGTTGATTAATTTGATTGATTAGTCTCAAATTAAAGTCAGTGTTTAGGTGCATTCACTTGGTGTTAGTCTCACACAGCTGCCATATCCATACAGCTGACAGATGTCACAAGGTCTATTTCTATTTAGTTGTGGTATTCAATCACACTATCCTAAATTATATTCTATTTACAAAGATCTCACCAGGGAGTTTTGTACACTAATATTGATACAACTTCTATTTATAGTTCAGTCTTAAGGCATGCGATTGGACAAAACTCTTAATATGTATTTTAGAACGTTGCTGGTTATAATCTGCATTGAGGATTAATATACCACATTTATTGGGAGTTACACATGTAACCATCATAATTGTTTTTCCAAGTGTGGATATACCTGTAGATCATGAAATACATCAACATGGAAATTGATGGCTGTAACACATCAAAAGCATTTATTACAGACAACTGCTGGCAAGTGTTACCAAGAGTAGTCATATGTAGTAAACCTGTGTGTTGGCTTGTTTTCTTGGATCAATAGAAAGAAGCTTATCTTGAAAAGGTCAAAAAAAGATGGTTATGTCTTTTTTCATTTTACAAGCTCTGCAATTATTTTAGACTAAAATTCAGTAACTGTAATATATATATATATATATATATATATATATATAACCAAGAGGACTGCACTCTTGCAGGTTGTGCTAAAATAA